GTTATCAAGCTTTCCAAGACTGAGGTAAAGGAGCTGATGACGATGGTCGTGGATTCTGACCTCTAGCTCCAGATGAAGGAGAAATAAAGAAGGCCAACGAATTGAGTCCTCGACATACCGCACAAAACTTGCATGGAGATTCAGTTGTGTCAACAAAAAAATTTGAAAGTTCCTACGTGCGACTGTTAGGGCCTTCCAGGAGAGAAAATGGGTTCGGCCTATTCTGAGCGACACGAGCAAGCAGTATTGGTTGCCAATACTTGAACTCTGCTGCATAACTCCAAGAAGAAGAAGGTTCCTGACTTCGTTGAAGGCGTGTTTTACAGAAGGATGTTCCCCGATAACAAAGTGAGAAGATGGCCGTGGTTGGCAACAGATGCCAAAGAGGCTCTGCCGAAACCGAACGCCACAAGAGAAAAAGTCTCGGCTACAGTATGGTGAAGCATTAAAATGGCTTACTATTGACGAGCGCGAAATTGTTGCACAGAAATGCGAGAGTTGGGCTGGGACTCTCCCCTCTCGCGCCATATAGCTCAGACCTGGCACCCTCCAACTATCACTGACTCAGGTCAGCGCAATACTCCTTAGCAGCAAACCAATTTGATAACCGCGACGACCTCATAATTTGAGTACCTAACTTCTTCGAGTCGTACCTGGAAGAGTTCTACGAGGTAGACCTCCTTGCCTTGCATAGGAAAAGGTGGAGAGTGGATGATACACATAAACGAAATGAATTAGGTTGATAAGCTTTGGTATAGCTTTTATATTTTATACTTATGATAATCTTTGATCAAAAACGACAAAGTTACCAACCTAATAGTTGCCTGCTACGCATTTGTGGACGGAAATCATCCGAGGTCCGATGCACTCCTCATTCAATGAGTTCTAAGTGAATGAACTCCAGAATGAGATGATTCGAGCTCGTATCGTCCTTCACAGTGCTATTAAACCACTTGCTCAGGGTTCAGTCAGCAGCAGGCTGGGGTAAACACTGCGCGGATTTTCTCTACTGTCTGCCTTGCAGTAGGGTCCATTAGGTTCGTCAAACACATTTGTTTCTTATTTGTTGAATCGGGTTTTGACCCTAGTTGGTTACTCGTTTTGGGCTTGCGTCTTACAGATAGACGTTGTACAACTCTCCTAAGCATATTAAACTATTTTTCAACAAGTTGCTTTGAGCATCAAGCTCGAATTTATTCAGGAATTGGACAGAATCTCTAATCCTGTCCGATTATTATTTAATGCTACAGGATAAAGTCATGTATGCAGGAGCCACACGATACACAACCCCTAATGGAACACCACTTCTCGAATCCTATGAAGCTCCAGCTGAGAAGCGATATGAAATGGAAGGGTTTGTTCACACCTGAAACCGGGGATTCCCGCAAAGGTCCAGCCTGAAGCGACGGGAGTGAATTTATCATATCTCTCTCGTTGCCATGAAGCCTTATAGCACCGTCGTTAACGATTTCCTCCTCCTACCATCGAGATCCTCGACCAGTTTCTTCCTGCCTGATCAGCATTGGAATTTCTGGTCAAAATGGGATAAAAGAGAAGGCAGACAACCGCTTCGCGGGAAAGGAACTCCATCTAGGTGTGCTCTTTTGCTTGCTGCTGGTCCTTTTCTTGTGAGAACAGTCACACATCCTAGATCCATTTTTCAATAGCTACAACACAAAATGAAAAATTCAAGCTGCTAGAATCGCAAACTCATTTCGTTAGTTCAGAAGAGTCAGCATGTTCTTTTCAGGAGAATCTCAGGATAAAGATCAGGCAAGTCTTTTTTCCATGTTAGAAGCATGTTTGAAGGAATCAAAAATGACCTTCAAACGAAGGCAGCAGCACCCTTCATCAGGGTCAGCCGCCCGTTGCGTAAGTAACAACGTTGCCTAAGTATTTGGCCAACAGAAGAGGGGGTTATAACCTTAATTACCGTTCACAAAATTAGAAGCTTCCAAGGCGTGGCAAAGGAGGACAGACTTTCAACTACCACTGCGACTGCACAACACCACCGACGATGGCGCATCGATTTCTTATTAAGTTACATAATGTCCCAGTGAGCATAAGCAAAAAATTCTTTCGGGAGAGGGGGGGAATTCCACGCTTTAGGCCGAACCAAAGTGGACGAAAGTGTAGTGAACTTGGCGGATGGACCTCTAGATTCTTATTAGAAACTTCTGGCAAGAGAACGGTTTCTCTTTCAAGATTATCTAGCATGTGCTATCTATGTAGTACGGATCCTGTTGATTTTAGTGTTATTTATCTCTTCTCAATACACCAATCTTGATGAGATTTACGGTTAATGTTGAGAACTCGCGCCTAAAAGGAATGGCCCGAAAAAGTCATTGAGGGAAAAACGGAACAACGGGACGATTTTTCGAAAGAGTGGTCATTTAGAAAAATCTTGATATTTTTTCGAAAGCGTCAATCTTCTAGTTTCTAATTAGCTTTGAAAATCTGCAAAAAGTTGATAATGAAGAAAGTTATGAATGTTTGAATGTCGAAAACTCGCGTGTGCACAAAAAACGGAACAACGGGACGATTTTTTGAAATATTGAACATTCGCAACATTTAAAACTTTTTAGGAAGAAACATTTGAGTTTTCAAATTTACATCTCATGAGAACGCTTCTGAAGAAAGATATAACCTTTCAAATGAAGAGGTTTGTATCGTAACGTAATTGCTGCAAGGTTTAGTTATTCAGTTTATAAAAAGGAGATTTGAGAGTCAAAAAAAACTTGGTAGGTTTCTGAAAATAGTGGAAATCTCTGCGATTACTACCATGCCTAGGTTTACGCAAAAATTTGGAAATTGCTTCTATTTAATGAGTAAAATTTCATGTTGCCTCGATTCCCTGTCCTCTGAGCGAGACAAAGCGCGCGGACTTACCACTGTCCACCAACTCTCCATGTCGGTGACGACCCATACACCGATCATAGGCCTGAAATATGAAAAAGAACTTATACTTATACTTATACGGCTTGTCGTCAGTTCATCTGCGAGCACCAGCAACAAACCATTCGTTTCGTTCTTTCGCAATCGCCATCCATGGTTGTTGTAGAATTCGTCGGAGACGGCGATCTGAAGCATCGTTTAGCTGCATTCGCAGCTGCTTTATGTGATTGACGAGTGCATCTCCCCATCTCGCAGCAGGTCTCCCTTTGGACCGCGAAAATCCTACGGGAGCCCACTCTACCGTTCTTCTTGTCCACCTGTCATCTGCTCTCCTCATGATGTGTCCGGCCCATCGTAGTTTGGCGTTTGTCATGTACTCCACAGGGTCTCGGAGATGGGACATTCTGCGCAGGTCTGCGCTGTGGAGTCCAGCTCGATATTGAGTAAATCTATTAAACCTCAAAAGACATCGCTCGAGCGCTCTGTGAGCTACAGTCAAAGTCCTTGACGTGGATGCGCTGCTCACCCATGTCTCTGCCGCGTAACAAAGCGCTGGAAGAACTGTAGAGTCAAACAAATGCGCACGAAGTTCTGGGTCAGCCAGATGATTGGTAACTTCTTTCAGAGGTCCGAAGGCTGCCCACGCTGCTCTCTGTCGTCTTCCTAGCTCTTCTTTCATATCGTTGTCCATGTTCATGGATCGTCCGAGATAAACGTAAGATGTGGCTTCCATGATAGGTGTGCCATCAATCTTGATTCCGCCTCCATCGGACCAAACGTTCTTCATGAATTGTGTCTTTTTCTGGTTGATCCGCAACCCCACCTTCTTTCCTGCTTCATTCAGTTCAGCGAGCATCGTCTCAGCTTCCGTAGTGCTACTTGAGAAGAGAACGATGTCGTCGGCGAAGCGCAGATTTGAAAGGTACCGTCCGTCCACACGAATGCCCTTCTCATCCCAATCGAGCGACTTCATTATCCACTGCAGCGCAGCCGTAAACAACTTTGGCGAGATGGTGTCGCCTTGTCTCACGCCCTTCCCCAAAGGGATGGTGAGAGGTCGTTGGAATAGTTGCACCGTTGCGGTGCAGCGACGATTGCAATCGGCCAGCGTTCTTATGTAGGACGCTTCCACTCCTTGGTCGACTAATGCTGACAGGATCGCGTTTGTTTCTACACTGTCAAAAGCCTTCTCGTAGTCAACGAAGGTAAGAACAAGAGGCATTTGGAATTCTCGGCACACTTCTATGACCATGGCGACTGACTGGATGTGGTCTAAGCAGCTGAATCCCTGACGAAATCCGGCTTGCTCGGTAGGTTGCGCTTCATCCAGTGATCGAGAGATGCCGTGTAAGGATGATCTTGGTGAATAGCTTGTACAGAACGCTCAGCAAGCTAATTGGGCGGTAATTGCGAAGATCATCACGGTCTCCTTTCTTATGGAGGATAATCATGCGTGAGTTCCTCCATTGGTCTGGGATCTTCTCCTTCTGAAGGTAGATTGTTAAACAAATGTCTCACGGAACGGGGTTTCGCGGCACGACTTAAAACCACCAGTAGTAGAAGTTGTAGATGAAAACCAGACGATTAATGTATGAAAAACTGGAAAAAAAAACGTCGGGGAGGGTCTTAGACAGGTATACTCTCCTCTGCCGCTCAGCAATGGATAAAGACGCACGTTGGACGAGTTGTCTGAACGTGCCCGCTGTAAACGCGCTCCATTTTTCAATCAATTTTCCCTGTGGTCCCAAAACGAGCACGATTGCCGACGCGTCCAATGACGGCCGGCAAGGGGGCGGGATTGGGGAAATCCCCAAGAACACCCATGTTTGAGGGACTTTCCACCCTGTTTTTGAGTTTCTGAGGTAAGTTCGTTTATTATTTCCACTGCATATGTTCTTCACTAGGGCTCGTGTATCCCTCAGTAGTAGTGGCATTGAAATTTTCGGACCCTCCCTGAACTGTTGCTTTAAGTTCAAGCGAAAGAGCATGAAGTTGGTGACCACCTGCACGAAGCAAGTCGGTTGAGATTTTGTCAGGACCGGGAGTCGTGCCCCCTTTCATGCTCGCAATTGCCACTCGTACTTCTGAAGGAAGAATTCGCGGTGTTACTTCTCCAGTCGGAATTTCCGGGTCTGGCACATGTGTCGTGGACAACCGATTATATTGTTCCTTGTATGTTCTTGCTTGGGCGGTGTTGCATTCCTATTCTCCATCCTCAAAGGACCGTCGGTAGATAATCTTCGACCTCTAAAGACTATGTGCCTTCCGTATCGAACTTTTTCCGTACCTGAACGTGTTTGAAGAGTCAGAATTCGGGCAGAGAGAGGTTTGGGGTGTACGCGACCGATGGCCCATGAGCAGGCCACAATTTCCAGTTTACCAGGAGAGGTCTCGTAT